AGTAAAAAATTTGCATAAAATATTTTAAAAATTCAGTAAAAATAAAAAAACACGAAAAATAAGAAAGTAAAATTTTCTGAAAATTGTTTTTAGAAAAATGGAATCAAACATAGTGATTTTCTAATAAAAATTACAAATATTTGTTGTTTTATGCTATTTTTTTTATTATTTTTTTTTTAATTTGAGAATGATGAACTTTTATAGTGTGTTCTCTAAGAGCATTTCTAACGGTTATCAATTTATTCTCTACTTTTTTTATATATTTTTTTATAAAAAAAAATTATTAAAAACATTAAAATCTGAAACAATCCCTCCGTCAGTGTACCATGGAGTTGTCACCCACTTCTAAGATTTCATGCATGCTTTGTTTGGATGGATCCATAGCCGCCAAGATCCAAAACATGGTAAGCTTATCACAAACTGGGAATAAAAAATGTAACACGTGCAATAAGGAATCAATTTGAAACCCCACTTAGATCACATTCATAATTAGTTTCAAGAAGATGATGAGAGTGAGAGAGAAAGAGAGAGTCAGAGAGCACGTGTCATATCTGCAAGTCACTAGATTTCAAATTAGATTGAATCACCTTCATGATTAGCTATGACTGCTTAATTTATTGTACAAAGTGACTTGAGATTTTTAGAACCCATCATCACTATTCCATGCATGGATCATCTAGAAAATGACCATTTTCTTGGGCAAAATTCACATTGGCAAAGTGAATGGATGTTAATAAAATTCATATACAGTCTTGTTTGGCATAACCTATTTTAGTTCATCTTTTTATCTTTTTTGAATCACATCAATCAATATCTCTTCTTTATTTTTTTATATATCTTTTTATAAAAATTTAAAAAATGTACTTATTTAGAACATCCCAAACCACCCATCACAATCATATTATATTTTAATTTTAATGACTTCGTGAATTATATATTAGGTTGTGATTTCAAACAATTGAATTATAACTTCACACGATCTAATTGAAGTGAATACGATTTTGTTTAATATAACTTATTGTCAGTTAAAAATTAATAAATTGGATAGTAGAAATCTAAAACACTCATTGCTAGGTTTTTAAATGATTAGTTTTCTTTTAAATTTCTTTAAATTATTTATGCTTGATAAGCTGTAAACAAAAAGTTATGCTAAATAGTCTAATACAAAATTTTAAAATAAATAAATAAATAAAAGTTATAAATTACACCAAACAATCGCTATGCATGCTTTAGAGGGGTTGCATTACAGATGGACTTTTTCTTATTTGTATGAACTATGAAGGAACCCATTAGAATTCCAACCTTTAATTAAAAAAATAAAAATTAAAAAAACTAAAATCTAATAATTTAATTCAAGTATTATAGTAGATTTGTATAAGTCACTTTATAAACTTCAAATTATATAATTTGTGTAGCGGTAAAGATTTAAAAATAAAATTTTAAATTCGAGTTACTTCAATGGGTGGTGGAGATTTATTCAGTAATTAATTTTAAAAATTCAAAATTAATTAAAATGCAAACAAGTTTATCCAAATACTTAATTAAAAAAACAAAAAAACTCACTATTATTGATTTTGAAAGGGAAAAGGGGTACTGCTGTGCTAAAAAACACAGCAGTGACTGTGGTGCTTCCGTTTGAGGTGTATTATGATCTTATTTTTATGATCCAAACCGTTTATTTTGTAGGGTTTGTTGAGTACTTCATGCTTATCAAAAATCATATTAATCGGATATCAACAACTATATGATTGATAACCAAAAAAATAAATAATAAGTTTTTCTTTTGAGAAATAGCATAAACAATATGCAATTCGATCATATAGTTATTGATATCCGATTAATATAATTTTTGATAGGCATAGATACTCAACAAACTCTACAATATGAACGGTTTAAATCATAAAAATAAGATCATAATACACTTCAAATAGAGATAGTACAGTCACTGCTGTGCTCAAAGCACAGCAGGGTCCCAGTTCCGAAAGAAAGAGATTAATGTGCATACGTGGGTGGGTGGTTGGTTTGGGACCAGATTGGTGTCAGACTTCCACCAACAGAAGAAGGGAATGTAGCTGCTTTTTAAGTAAAATGACTTGTGACCAATACTTATTAGTATAGTTTGAAGCTTGAAAACCATCACAATCATAATCATTATTATTATTACTATCACTGTCACTAAGCTCATGCTATTATCAAAATATTAATTAGTCATATTATCATTAAAAAATTAGTAATTGTCAAAAAAGATTTCTTAGGGATGAAATTACATCACTATGATTCTTTATTTATGATTAAAAATGTTTTAAAGACTTTTTCAAGATGCGAAAGATGGAATTGGAGACTTTTGCATCCCAATCTCTCATTTGGATAATATTGTGCCTCGGTGAGAATATTCATCAATCAATATATTGTTAAAACACCAACTAGCTTTAATTTCAAACCACCTAATAATATCTCCTGAAATCCTCACTTTGTATTTTATTTTAAATACATTGTAAAGTGTACTTTTCATTTATGTTTAAGAATAAATTGCACCCAATTAACTTCTTTTGAGATT